GCATGTATTTATTGGGGCTTAAGCACTATCTAAAATAACACAATTGCTTAACTGCTATGACAAATGTTTTTAAAATGGAAGATGAAAGTTCAACTCTCATTGACTTGAAAATCATCCTTCAAACTAGGTCTAAAGAGTAGTATCATTCATCATCAGATTTCAGTGTTCAACAAGCAATAAACTATGTTTTATAATATTTCATGAAAAAGGTAAAACTCAGACAGCCTGTACATTTAGTGGTTTTGCTTCTTTGCTGTGTACCTGATCAACTGTGCTCATAAATCCTTTGGCATATATTTTCCTGGTCAAAGTATTTTAAAAAATCTCTTAGTAATACTCATTCTTTAAAGGTTTTGTTTACAAATAAAGTTTATCTGGCATAAAGTAAAGTAGACTTTATTGACTTCATAAAGTGCATATTTAATCCTCAAATTTTCATTGTAATGACCTGTTCATTATAAATTTGTGTTAGATTTGTTTTCTCCTTTACTTGTATCAAGGTAATCATATATTGTTTTGCTATTATAGATCTATTAAGGTTAGTATCTGATGCTTTTTCTGGTATTGCACTGAAGGCTCATTTTAAAAAGCTGTTGAAATGGTACAAATTTATTGTTGAAAATTACCTTCTTTATGTCATCAATGGAAAGCAAAGGGATTAAAAATATTTGCTTCATGACAATATTTATATATAGAAACTTTATTATATATAATATTTTTTCAATTTATTGCTTTATGAAGGAATAATTCTACCAGAAATTACTAAACTGGTAAGCAGTTCCATTGATACTACCTACTAGCCCTTTAAGATATTATGTACTTCATTACTATGTTAGTTTTATTTAAATAGAACTTTTCCTACAAATTTACTATAATTTTTGTTTTAGTTTTGCGTCTTAAACAGTTTTTCAAGATCATATATTTTTGACGTCTCTCAAGTTATACGTACACACTCAATACAACTTCTTTGGTTTTCTAACTTCAAGTGCAACTGGAATCTAAGTTATATTTGCATTACCACAGATACAAGTGGCTTTTAAAATTATATTTTCAGTAGAGTATTCTTGGCTAAATCACCTGTGAAGAAGGGGAAAATACAATCTACCTAGTGTACCTAGACTGAAAATTATTTATATTTGTGCTTAATTATAATGTTCCAATTTTTCTTATACTCAGCTATGATAGAAAACATTAAAAGTATTCCTATTAAGAAGACAATGCCTTTTTTTTTTTTCAAAAGAGTGCCTTTCTTTTGTAGGTTAACTCTGAAGCTTTTATTCTACTTCTATTTAATGGAAAACTCCTCCATTCATCTGAAGGTGAAATTCAATATGTCCAAATTAGCACTTGTGGTGGTTTGGGCTAGGCCTTCCTTGGTGACCAGTTTGTAACCAAGGAGGGGTCCAGATTTACCCAAATTTGAACTACTGGAAACTGTCATTGCTTTGAGTCTGTTTCTGGACAAATTCAGATTCTTAATGTCTGTATAACAGCATAAAGCTAGCTTATGCTATGTCTTAATTTTCCCTGAAATAAAAACAAAAAGAGCTTTCCACTGCTAAGTACAGCTGATAAAAAGTAATTTAAGCTGTGGTACCCAAATTTTATCTCTAAGGTTCTAGTTTGCAATGTACTTATATGTTCCTATTAAAAAAAATCTAAATGGAACTACTCTGTCCAAATATGATCCTTTTTATGATGATTTGGGAATTACATTTTAGATTATAAACATAATATTGGTACTAATATTCTCCTTCTGAACCAAAAGATTTATAGCTTATTTTCAGACTTTAGCTTGGCACTAAATCATTTATTTTGGAAAGACAAACTCAGTATCAATCTTTTGTTTGCTTGGTTTTTTTTTAAATCTTGGTTTCACTGGATTTGATATCTAAAATTTTAATTAGGCTATCACTGGTTTCCTTTCTCTCTTCTCCTCTGTGTAGACTATTAAGTTCAGCAAAGAAAGTGGACAAGGGGATGCAGAATTGCTTCACAAAATTGCTGAATTTATAAACCATAATCAGTTTTACATTTCATTTCTGCCTTTCACTGCCTTTCTGGTGTCTTATTGCTCTTTCATATTCCGTTCTGGTTTATGGATTACTCAACAGGGATATTAGAATCACTATTATTTTAAATAATAATTTTGCATCTCACAGTCTGCCCTTTCTTTTTTGTAGTTAAGCATGACTTATTGCAAAAACTACCATTACCAGAGCTTTCCCTCATCTTTCAATGGCAGCTTTGAAACTGCCTAACATATGACTTTCTACACTATGTACTTTCACTACAAGACCTGACAGTTTTTATTTCCTCATTTCTACATATATTAACTTATATATACATGGATCTGTTGAAGATTATATGAAGACAGGATAAAGTGAATTGTATTACCTGGTTGTGACTTCAGTTACAATGGGCTACATCTGAAAATTTTTTGCTATGTCAACAAAAAGACATTCATGAAAAGGATGGGTGCTTATTTCTAATCCTGTATACAAACCAATTCAAACTGCTCTAGCATTACCACTACATGGATATAACATAGCACATAGTTTAGAAAACTAACAAAAAAGATTTATTACTTCAGACTAATTTCTTATTACAAAGGGTATTACTGAACTAATAACTGTATGGGATATTTTGAAAAAAGTTGCAATAAAAAAAGCAATTAAATTCTATTAACTAAGCTTCTCAGGAAGAATATATCATGATTCTTACACAATTCCAAATAGAGAGCACATCTCTAATGCTTCCCAAACAACTGCATTTAATCACCTCAGTTTATGTTTCTTTCCTCATTTTACGTTTCTTTCCTCATTTTAGATATTGTTTACAAAAAGCCAGAATTTCTTCAACAGAAAAATTCAAAAGTGATTCCACAGAAAACAAAAAAAACCCTTCAGTGGTCAAATGCCTCAGCTGTTCCTTTTTTTTCCTATAGAAAGTGTACCAGTTTTTCTCGTCATAACCTCAACTTTCCTCGACTTAAATTATAATGGTATTTTTTAAATCTATTGACCAAAAGCATCTGTAAAATGATTGGTCCAAAATTGTTTTTTTAACTGATCGTCAAGGGTTTTTGATCATGGATCCATTTCTTTTGTCACTGGGAAAAGTTTTTTCTCTATCAAGAATTCCATAATGTTTTAATAATACTTTCCTGTGTTTTAGCTGAAGTTATTGTATTTTTACTACCCTTGGGAACAGTACTGAAACTAATAACAGATTCTGTAAAATTTTGGAACACTGGTAAAAGAGATATTACATATATTTCTGCATGTAATTTATGTATTTTCTCATGTGCTTTCTAATTTATAATTAAATTTAAACTTAGGAAACAATTCTAAATCACAGAGCTGTTTAGTGTCATGATGCCATCTGATATAGATTCCCATCACTGTTTTATATGTTAAGACTTGTTTAACAGCAGCAGTATGTATGCATTACATGTGTCCAATGCTGTGACTGGAGGGGCAGGAAAGCATGTTCATTTTGTGCAATATTGACCCAACAGTACATTAAAGGACTTGCTGTTAGTTGTAACTCAGGGGAATGGACAAGATAACATAGCCTGTTGTGTGAGTTGACACAGGCAGGCAGCCAGAATAACCACAAAACCACAGCTGAAATGCAAAGAGTAAACCTATTTCATTTCCTCCCTAACCAGATGACCCCAAAGTAACAGCCAGGCAGAGACACACCAGTGAGAATACAGGCACCGTCAGGCTCAGGCTATCCTGGTGGGCAGCCAGCCTGCTGTTGGCACCCATTTATCAAGGATATGCACACACGTAGTTTACCACCGTGTTGTGATCTCCCCTGTGCTTTTTATGATCTCTGAGCTTTGATCTCTCTCCCAAAAGAAGGAGCTCAAGTATGTCCATGAGAGTGCCTCCAAGTCTCCCCAAACACCTACATTATCTCTACACATAAATTCTACTTCTCAAAACAGAGGATAAACAGCACTAGGCATGATATATGGGGTTTCCCCAACTGTTATTCTCCAGGTCTTGGCATTCCCAGCTGCGAGGTCACCTGAGCAAATCTACCATCCTTGTCACCATTCATCCTCTTTTTACCCTTTCCTCCCAACACTTCTTTCCCATTTCTACTTTTCATCATGTTGTAATAACTCTATCACACCAAGTGATTTTAGTAGAACAGATAATGAGGAGTTCGGTTTTCCATACCTTATAAATTTATATTCTGGTGGGTATTCCAGTATACGTAGTATGACTTACAGATTCTAAACTCCTTTATTTAAGCATGAAAATCTCATCACTATACTATTTCTGAAACTTCACAAAATTAATTATGTAATTGAATAAACTAGAGCTTTTTTCCTACCATAAATATATATGAGATATATAATAGGACTCTTTTTTTTTCAAGGAAGCAGCAGAACTGTATTTTATTTAATTTAAAAAAACAATAGGGAAGAGGAATACAGTGTGGTTTGATTAATGATGACAATGGCATTGATAAGACTATTATAAAATCAAACCAAAACAAAACCCAACTTATCTGAAAACACTTGAGGAAAAAATATCCTTTCAGTCGTGATGAAGCTATTGCTATAAATACTTTGTAAAGCATATCAGTCCCTCATTGACAGTCTTTATAACCTTTATATCCTATCATAATAGATAAATGTAAACACATAATTCTGATTAAAATAGTCCCTTGACTGCTTGAAAAATTAAAAATGCCCTTTTTCAAAATCAATGCATACAGATCTGAATTTTCTCACTAATTTATGTAAGTTTCAGCGTTCCTCTGCCATTTATTTTTTGGTTTGGGGTTTCTTTTTCCAGTATTATTTTGTCAAATAATAAAAATTTACTTTAACCTTCAATATACATAGTGATCTAACAAGAAGTTATTATTACTGGTCAGAATGCTACGACAGCTTAAGTGTACTGAGTTTTCAGTTTTTCACTGCAAATTACATAACTGAAAACTGAGGCATCATTTAAAAATAATGTTTTTCTTACCTAAGCCATGCCTATGTGTCGACATAGGCGGTAACACAGTCCAAGCCTTGGTCTTTGGATTGTAACATTCAACAGTGTTTAATGTCTTTAAGCCATCCCGGCCTCCAATGACAAACAGCTTGTCATCGATGACAGCAACACCAAACTGAAGCCTCCTGCCATTCATTACTCCAGCCTGAATCCATATATTTGTTCTGAGATCATACTTTTCAATAGTCGTAGCACCTGATGAGATAGAATAATAATAATAATAGAATTATGTATAAAAATGTATTTAAAAAGGCAATGTTTCTCTTTTTATTCTCTTTTTTTTCCCTAAAAGTGTTAAAACTTTGATAATATTTTCTGATTAGACGTACATCTTGAAATTTTTTTTTTTAAATAAAGTAGTCCCTCAAATATGTGCATGTGTGTGTGATAGATTACCTTTCTTACCTCTTCAAGTAGCATGAAAAAAAAGAAAATCTAAATGGCTGCTATAGAAACAAAATATTACAACTTCAAATAACACTATGCTCTAACTTTATGATTTTTTAAAGTTCAGTGAAATAATTATATAAAATACTAATGTTTTTACACTTGATTCCAATCTTCCATACAATGTATATTGTCATCTAAGATTAGAAGTAGTATTTTAATTTGCATTCATGTTTTTGTTCTTATTTTAGATACTTGTGTAGGGTTTCTTTCAGACATGCTTCTGCTGGAAGTAGAGAATGCTATACTTACAATCTGAAGCAAAATATTTCAAGAATGTTTCCATATCCAGTCAAAACTATTTCCTTCTGAGTTTAGTAATTTGAATTACTTTCAAAGATTAATTAAAAAACTATAAAGACCATTATGCGTAATATAACTTACCATTTAGTAATGAAAATGTCATTAAGAAGCCTCCACTGTTTAAACTAACTCGCACGTAATATGCAAGATATCACAACGATGTTATAAGAAATGAAGAGTTTATTAACAAAAAAAGAGGGATAAAGGAAGCATAATTAACTTAACTAGATTCCAGAATGTCAGTCATGCATTCCATTTATTGTAGTATGACAGTAGAAAAATTTAAAACAGAACTACAAATACCTAAATAATAGATGAATTTAAATTAATCCTTTAGAGGGTGACTTGATAATACATCTGAAATGTAACTGGTGTTTTATCTTAATGGTACACATAATGGTGCTTCCAAAGCTTAAATATCCTACAGAAAAAAATCAACATAATTATTAAGCTTTACCAACTAGCTATTTGGATTATAATAAAAGGTTAGAATTCCATGGGAATTAATTATTTCAGGATTCATTCATTCTTTGGAACAAAAGAGCAATGAACTGAGTGCAAACAAACATCAAGAAAGCAATAGCTTTGTTAATTGAACTAAAAAAGACATAATTTAAATTCAATTAGTATCTAAGTGTAGCAGAGCAGCAATAATGTACAATACAACAAAACAACTGGATTAAATCCCTTTCTAGTTTTATGAAGCCATAAGATATATGAAGTAAATTTTGCATTTGATTCAAAGAGACATATTTATTTCTCTTTTTGACTCTAGTTTAAAATTGAGTTGTAAATGCATAAATCCTCAGGTTTGAAAGAAGAAAATATACAGATTATTTGATACAGGTTTTTGGTGGTGCTGCAGGGCATATTATAATGATGCATATTAATAAAGTTGTACTGCTGGAAATTTTTTATATGTGGAATATATTCATGCTAAAAGCTAGAACTGTAGCACATGAGTTCCGTAATACTGTCTTTCATTCATGGCTGGGATTCGCGAATGAAGATTTGGGGAGGGCTCTACCCACGTTTGTTACAAACACGCTGGTGGCTAAAAAGGCCAATACGAGACAGACATATCCGATTACAAAAGGCACAGCAGAAAGACTCCTTAGGTGGTAAATTCTGCAAGACACAATTCTTTCTGCATTGTCTTTTCTCCTCAAGGGTGATCCTGCGTGCTTTCTCAAAAGCATCAGCAGCGTTATAGATGGTGTGTCTCCAGGCCTCCCGATTGGAGGCCAGAGTAGACCAGTTATGGTGATAAATATGGCCAAGGCTGAGATGTTGTTTCAGGGAGTCCTTGTATCTTCTCTTTGGGGTTCCTCTCGTGCAGCAGCTGGTGGTAAGTTCACCATAAAGCGAGAAATACTGTCTACTCAAATGGTAAAGAGTACAGTTTAAAAGTTTTGCCATTCTGATTTCAGAAAATAGTGCTTACATAACAAATAGAGTCTTTGAATTATGCTCAGCTATATATTTTCTAATATTGGCTAAGTCTGAGTTGAGACAAAGTTTTCTTAAATTACATATTGAGCATCTAATCAAGGAGTTTCTGGAGTGCTTGAACTCTGTTTATCCAATAAGGTACCTTGCTAATCTGTAACGATGATAAGAATGTGGATGATACAATAACAAGAACAGCAACAATAATAATAACAAAAACAACAACACAAAGTGAAATAGGTTTCAGTCCTATAAAATCATCTTTAGTGTCAGGAACACGAATATAATACATTCTAGACTGCATTTCAGACAAAAAAAAAAAAAGATCTCTTAAATTACCATAGTCCTTAGATAAAATCAGCTCATGGATGAAGAAGAGATGATAGAATCAGCTAAAAGAATATAGCTATCTTGTTGATGGGCATAAAAGCATAGTTTGTCTTTTTTTGGCTGAATTCTATTTCATGCAGGCCAGTCAGTTCTGTCTCAGCACAGGTATGCCCATAGACTCTCTATGGATGCCAAGATCACATGAAGAAGAAGGTGGAAGCGACATCTTTATAACACTATTTGATGACAGTTCCTATAGGAAGAACTCTAGGCCTTAGAATTTCCTATAATTTGTCACTATAGCTTTTTAGTATCTGTCATCATTCTAGTCAGGCCATTCTCCAGACTTTTTTCGAAAAACACTGAGCCAAGTTAAAAATCTCATCACTCAGGACTCTCAGCATGGGTGATCAGCCTGCAACTTGTAAAATGAGTAAAATCTCATCTCAACTAATCTACCTGCTGAAACTCTAGACAACAGAGCCTCAATGTTAAATAGCTATGTAGAAAACATCTACAGTCTCTCCCCTGTTCCTGCAGCAAATGGAGAAGCAGATGTAACCTCTGCTTATAGCCCCAACCACAAAATGAACCAACATCTATTCTGTTGATACATCAGTCCTGTCATGGAACAGTCTCAGTATACAGCTGGATATGAGCCTGCCTAAACAAACAAATACAAGTAAATAAATTTTTAAAAACGGTGCTATGTCCTCATCAGGAAGATAGTCAAACAAATTGAACAGTTCATCCATAGACATTGGGGCTTCATCCTTCAAGGCTTTCAAGACCCAAATGAGTATGGTTTGATCTCATAGCTAACCCTGCTTTGAGAAGCAAGTTGGACTAGAGACCTCATAAAGCCCTTTGCAATCTGATTGCATGATCTGGGGTGGTGACTGTAGCCATCAGTTTCTTTTCCTAGGCATGATCCATTCAAAACTTTCAACAAGATAAAACCTCATATATGAAACACTTTCACTTAAGACAGTGAATCAAATAATATATGAATAAAAGACTGTTGTAATCCTCTCCATCTCCTGCTATGTCCCATATTTATTTGAATTTCTTGTTATTTATATATTATTTATATGAACAACTATCCAGGAAAAAATATACATATTTATGAACTAAAATCTTAACAATTCCTGCCAGCTTTCACTCCCAACTACATGAAGTCCTCTGTTTAAATTGAAGGGAGGAAAATTTACCCCACATATCAGACATCAGTACTGTTTTTAATGCACTTTCTCCAATTGAATAGGTTCTAAGAACACAAAAATATAGTTTTTTAATTAGCATTAAGATATTCCTAATTTAAGTCATAGTATTGCATTTGGTTTAATGACATTCAGATAATTCTTTCTGATTAGGTACTTGTAATGGAAAAAAACCCAAACCAAAAAATATGTAATTGAACAAAAAAACCTGTCTTGTCTTAGTGCTGTTCTGTTTTAAAATATTTTGATTGCAATGGCTCTGCTGGAGTTAAATTTAAACAGGAAAAATCTTTCAACAAAAAGGTGGTGGAACCGCTGAAAGATATCATCAACAGAGATTTTAGGATAAGTTTAATTGCAGATTATTGAGAACTTCTTCATTCACATACAAATGGACAAGTAATAGGACAACTAAGATTATAAAAGGGAATAAACTTCTACCTAGGAAGAAAAAAGGGTATTTCTGACAAAGTAATAGATTCTTTTGTTTAGCTCAACTGTTTTGATCTTGCAAGTAAAAGGATATTCTGCACCTAGAATAGGAGGCAAAACCTTGATTAATTCCAACAGGATTATAATAGACAAATTAGTTTAGCTCTTTAAGAATTGGGTCCTTTGGATATATAAAATCAGTAACATATTAGAATATTGATTTTTCATTTATCATATATTTTATGGTTTGAATATATTTGAATATAATACTTTCAGAAAGAGAGTATCCTTACATTTCCAAATGTTGACATCACAAATATTAAAACTAATTTATTTGCTCTGAAAAAAATAAAAGCAGAAGCTCTGAATTATCCAGGGGTGGGTGCACCAAAGACAGCACAGTCAGCTGATCAAAAGAAGTGATAACCCACTGTATTCATCACTGGTGTGGCCTCATGTGAAGTACTGTGTGCAGTCCTGGGCCCCACAACTTCAGAAGGATGTGGAGCTCCTTGAATGCATCCAGAGAAGGGCAGAAAAGCTGGTGAAGGGGCTGTAAGGAATGTCCTGTGAGAAGAGGCTGGGGTCTTTAGGGGTTGTCTAATTTGGAAAAGGAGGTTGAGAGGTTAATTCATTGTTCTCTACAGCTTCCCGAGGAGCTGAAGTGGAGTTTTTCTTCCCAGTATCCACTGTTAGGACATATAGAAATGGACCAAAGCTGCACCAAGGAGTCTAAGTGGATCATAGAATCGCATCCAACCAGTAACCCAGCACTGCCAAGTCAACCACTAAACCATATCCCCAAGTGGCACATCTACACATCTTTGAAATACCTCTAGGGATGGGGAGTCTGTCACTTCCCTGGGCAATTCCACTGCCTGATAACATCTTCAGTGAAGAAGCTTTTCCTCATATCCAATCTAAACCTCTTCTAGTGAGAACATTTCCTGTCACTTGTTACTTGACAGGAGAGATTGACACCCACCTTGCTACAACCTCTTTTCATGTAGTTGA